GGGGAAAGGGGGGGGGGGTCCTTACAAAGTTGACGCCAATCGTGATTCTCAAAATAGTGAGATTTATAAGGACATACAATTTTCACTGTTTTAGTAGAAACATGTGACTTTGCCTACTAATAAAAATGGGTTTTAAAAAGCACAACGAGCGTCGGAAATACCTTTTACTTTTACGGCACCTCTGAGTCGATCAGTCATCGAGTTTAAAAATTGCCAATATAATAATATGAGTGAAGTTGGCAACATATGGTTACCGTAGACGCGCGCAGGCTAAAATTGGCTGTGGTGTCAATTTCACCCACCAACCTGTGATTTCACCTCGCGCACCCCAGCCGAAGGCGAAGAGCCTAACCATTACGACGGTAAACTGATAGCTCTTGCCCGATACTTGATGCCTTGAGTCTTATAAAACACACATTACTCCTCTAATACAAAAAGCTGTCACAGACCTGCTAACCTTCCATAGACCGCAGTAGGGAAAATCCCGACTTTTTCCAGGCAGAAAATAGGCAAGTAGATAGTGCAGTGCAAGAGTCTTTCTCTTGGTTGGTCATACAAAAGAAAGCCATTTGGATTTCATTTAGGGATGGTCACACTAATCAGGCCTCATAATAGTCTCTATCTAGATCTTTATGTTCTGTGATGCGTCACTGAGGAACGTAATTGGCTTTGCCTGCGGACAGTTGTGCTACGATGATGGGCATAAACAGTGGATTCCAATCATTGCTGAAGTTTGACCTTCCCAATGTATTTGTACTGGGTTGTGTTTGCCATTCCTTCGCTCTTTGCGCGAACCACGCCAGCAAACATCTGCCTACGTGGCTAGAGTCGTTGGTAAAAGACGTTTGTAGCTGCTACTTCTCACGTAGTTCCAAGAGACAGAGAGACTTTCACCTGGGTGACAGCATGTCATCAACCCAGACACAATCTACAACATGGACGAAACGGGAGTGACAACTGCGCCAAAAACCGCCAATTTTTATCTTTCCCAGAATGCGGTTCCAGGAACACTTCCTGATCGGCGCATTACCATGCCCGATAGGTGCTGCAAATGGGTCGGGCTGGATAAAGGATGAAGAGTTTCTTACATTCTTACATTCGGCATTTCATCAGCCATGCGAAACAAACCCCCGAGAGTCCAGTTTTACTGATTCTCGACTTTCACGTTTCCCACCTGTATGTTCCAGCTATTGACTTGTGTAGAGAGAACAAGGTTATTCTTCTTTCCATCCCCCTTCACTGTTCACACAAAATCCAACCCCTGGATTAAGTAATCTATGGACCATTCAAGACTCTGATGAACATACGGTGCCCTTCTTGGATGCGGGAGCATCCTGAAAAACCAATGACAATTTAAGACGTCCCATCCATTGTTGGAAAGACTCTCCTGCAGGTAATCTCACAGGCAAGTGGCATTGAGTCCTTTCTGTGCACGGGGATTTGGCCATGTAACGGAGACATCATCAAGGAACGAAACGGAAGTCCAAACAAAGAGCAATATACCAGATGCAATGATTGAGAAACTGAAGACAGAAACTTCGAAAGATAAAGACATGAAAACCTTAGCAGAAATAATCCAAACTGAGTGGCCAAACAGCAAATCTGAACTACCACCGTCAACCAGACCATTTTTTGACTACACAGAAACTATGACAATGGGCTGATTACAAGAGGAGAAAAAGTCCTTGTATCAAAGTCAATGCGAGAGCAGAAAAAGAGAAGAGTGCATGCAGCTCACCCAGCAACCGAGAGCATGCTGAGGAGGGCAAGACGAACTTTTTTTTGGCTAGGCATGACTTCTGAAATAAAGTTTTTGTTTGCTTTAGTAAGAGTGTTACGGTGCTCGCAACTGCATACGATCATATGAGCGCGCGAAAAAAGTTGGTTCTATACGCAACAGTTCACTGCACAGTCCGATTCTGGTCAACACCTCTACTAAAATACTAAAATTTTGGTGTAAATAAATTCTGAATTTAAAATAACTTTTTAAATAACATAAAATTTTAAACCATGTAATTTACATTTTCCATAAAGGCTAATGGCCTATATATAAAATAAAGGATTCTGTTGGGATCAACGACTGAAAACAGGCTTGCAATTTTTTGCATCAAAAATATTTCCTTCGGGTCTCTCCGAAAACCAGACATTCTGTTAAAAATGTGTCTAATTGTAAAATCTGTGTCGCATCCGACACAAAACGGCTTCCCTTCTCCCTGAAAATAAAACAAATGGCTGACAGATGAGAAGTTTGTCAGCAGAGCAAGCCAAGAAACCAGACAGAAACTCTGGTACAGCACAGTAAAATGGATGAGCACCATGGGAAAAGCTTGGATCTGATATTTTTAAAATAAAAGGTAGACAATTCCTAGTTCTGGTAGACTATTTTTCCAATTTCATTGAGGTTGAGTATTTGCCAACATCAACATCTGAAACAGTAATCACCAAAATGAAATCACCTTTTGCTAGATATGGAGTGCTAAAAATGCTTGTCACTGACTGTGGGTCACAGTATACAGCTTCAACGTTCAAACAGTTCACACAACACTGGGGTATCACTCATGAACGATCATCTCCGGGCCATGCTGTATCCTGGCGTTGACCAGATGACAAGGACATGTGGTTACTTGAGAGAGGCATTGCGCTGCCAAGAGCGAAATGCTCGCAGCTAAAGGGATTTGAAAACAACAACAAGAAGGAATCTCCGGGCCATCACCGAGCCAATGGAAAGGCTGAATTGGCGGTAAAAGTAATAAAAGCCATGATGAAACGTTGGGTGCTGGATCACGAAGATCACTACGAAGCACTTTTAGAACGTAAAAACACCCAAGACAAGATGGGACTACTCCAAACCAGATGATGTTTCAAAGAGACACAAGAATGCTCTTGCCTCAAATGAGAAAGAAAAATTACATGTTCGAGACAAAGACATGAAAAGATTAATAATAGCTCGCAAGATGAAAGTCCAGAGACAATTGGACAGAAAGGCGAGAGATGGGAATCCCTTGCAAAAACCCTGATAAAGCTGGTTGGAACGCAGGCAGAATCAAAGAAAAGATCAACAGATCCTATAGAATAGAAGGGGAAACTGGCAGCACCTACATCAGGAATAGGGTGCATTGAGACCAAAGTCAACACCTTTTCACAAAAGGAAGGAGGAGCCCGACGACAAAGTCATGCTGACCCAGCAGAAGATCCTGCAATAAACGACCACAGCCTGCGCCAACAACACAGCGCCACTGTTGATTGGTCTGATCGAGAAGAGTTCTGCTTAGAAATCAATCATACTCTTTAAAAGACAATGTTCTATACTCATCACCACTGAGAACTGACGAGCAGATGACCTGACCAAGTCAAAAGAAGTTGTCGAAAAGGATTTTGAAAAGACAATGAACAGAAAATTTTGATTTATGTTATTTGAAAATTAATGTCGTTGGACGATCATGACAGTCCCTTCTAGTAGAAATCAGATAAGACATGGAGGCATTGCTGTTTGATTTAAAAGGTTTACAGTATGATTCAAATCAGTATTAATTTCTTGGGAACGGGATTCATGAGCAAGAACGCTTTCCATTTGTGTCTGTAAAGCTCAAATAGTATTAGTAGTAGAATTACTTATCATTTAACTTGCTAATATAGAAAGTTTCTTATAAAGGGTTTTGAACTAACTGACAAATAAGAAGATGTAAATGTTACATTTAAGGCTCCCTACGTTTAAGCAATGCACATATGCATCTTGCTAAAGAAGGGGGGATGTTGATATGTGTACATTGTTTGTGTTTCGTACCATTTCCGATGAATGTTTTTTTAACCACATAGTTCAGCAAGAGATTAAAGGACTGGTAGGTCATTCCATACTCAGCTGGCAAACGTGCAAGTCGATTCTGTTCTTCTTTGTCTACACGTTGAACCTCATGGCATACACGCTTACAAACACCTAAAAAGTAAAATTATCAGTTACCTCCCCATAGCACAGACTGCTAGAAGCTAGATTAGAATAGGTTCTATCTAAATGTACATGTACATATTGGTTGACGTCAACTAAGGGGGTGGGTCCCAGGAAAGATGACAGAAGATGACAAAGGGCGAAGAGGGAGGGGGTGGGTAATTTTTGGCCAAATTTCAGCTGACCTCATTTGTGAATGGTCCCTTATCTCAACTGAGGGCAAGCACATCACTACCTTGAATTTCTTGGTAAAGTGAATATTTCACAACACAGGTTTTTCTTGGTCACTATTTCAAATTGAAGAAATTTCCTCAACCAGGATCAAAACAGTTCAATCCATTTGTGCGTTTTCATATGCAGCATATATGCCCAACTAAACACAACTTAGTTCATTTCTATTTGGAAAACTTTATTTCTTCACCAAGACATCCAGTCGAGAGAGACGAGAGGAAAAACTTTGTAAAAGCGGAGATTAAATTTAGAACAAGTTTGTATCCATCACTGAAGCCTTTCATAAACAACAGCAATGCAGCAGATGGCAAAATGTGTTTTTTCAGTCCATTGCCTCGACACAAAACGGCGTCCGGCTGCGCAGCAACAATGTCTACTTGTGGGCCTTGGTGGAGACGAGGATCTTGACGGGCTTGGTCAACTCCACCAGGTCCTGCTTCTTGAGCAGCTGTCTGGACTGACCGCACGGCTCCATGGCCAGGGACACCTCCACGTTACAAGATTCTGGGGGGGAGAGACAGATTACAGTCACTGCATGACTTCTATATCACCTAGAACAAACACAAACCTGTCCCGTTTGACACAACGAAAACATAATCAGTAAATTAAAAATCCATCCCATGATCAGATCCACAGACTCCACAATTTCATAACAAAAAAATTCTTAGACTGATAAAAATACAAACAATAATCAACCAGCCCCATTGTCAGCTATTTCACTCCATTTTTTTTTCTAATTTTGCTTTCTCTGTCTTGAATTAAAGCCATTCATCCAGAGTAAAAAAACAAAGGAGATATAGCACTGCCTTCCTATAACCCGCTTTTGATCAAATTATGGTACAGGAGCAGATCCATGTCAATCTACAACATCAGACTTGCCAACTGTTTTCAAACCCAATCAAAGAAATCCGACTCATGAGCAGACCATCGCTTCACCAAGACAACACAAATCAGACAAACACCTGACAAGTTCAAAGTTTGGCTTTAATAAATATTCTCTCAGACTCCCGAATCCAGGACAGTCCCGGGAAATTTGGGGTAGTTGACAAGCCTGCAACATGTAGCCTTCAACTTAACCAGATTTGCTTTCAGTACATCATCCCGACAGCTGAGTGTAAGACTCCATTATACGTCCCCTTTCAAAATGGCCAACATCAAGGTCTTACACCAAGCAGCCAATAAACAGAACCTGGGAAATTTGGGACAGTTGAGAAGCCTACAACATGAGCAACTTCACCAGAACTGCTTTCAGTACCTCATCCTGACTGCTTACTGTAAGACTTCGTCATCATACATCACTATTCAAAATGGCATATGGCAAGGTCTAACACCGAGCAGCTAATAAATCATCGCCTCAGGAACTATTTTGTCCAAAGGGGAGGACCTCCCGTTAATAGACACTTTGGACAAAATAGATCTGAGGCGACACAAAAGAGATCACTTTTGTCATGGGAAAGTCCCCAAAAGCCACCCAAGCGAGTGAGCGAGAGTGTCGCTACCACGACTCACCTGACCAGAGGGCGTGGGACATGACCACCTCCGTGTGTAGCCGATGCCTCAGGGGGGACAGTCGGGTCCAGGCCGAGACTGGAGGGTGGATCAGCTGGCTCTGTTGGTCTGGGTACCGGACCTGTTACAAGAGGGAGTTTAAACAGTGCATAGTACAGTATAGGTGAGTGTTCTGGGTGGGTGTTTCGGGGTTCTTTTTTTATAAAGATAGATTGACTATGCATATGAGACTGTGGATCATCACCTTTTCCACTGTACAGTCCTACATGACATCAGAGCTACACTTCTCTCTCCGAGACAAACATTAATAATAACACACTCTATGGAACATTACAGAAACTACAACAAACCTGCACTTATCACTAGATGGCATTGGACAGAAAGGCGAGAGCCCATTTGTGGCGGGATCGATAGCAATAACAAAATAAAGATAGATTTAATCATAATAATGTAAACAGTAAGTTTCTTGTCACAACTGACCTGTATCCTGATAGACTGGACGTCGCGGACATTCTCCAGCGTGGCCACCACTGTGACGCTAGCCGTGAGCCCCGCTGCCATCCGCACGGCCTTCTCGAGGTTCTCCACGGGCTCGTGCAGCGTGGCGTTGACCCTCCGCACCCCGCGCAGCACCGGCACGCCCGTGGGCCGCAGCATGGACAGCGCTGTCTGCACCACGCCGTGCGTGCCCTGCAGCTGGGACGGGTCGACGCGGTCCAGCCGAGAGAAGAGATGCTGGGTCACGGGGTCAACCTGGGCCGGTTCTGTCTCCAGGGATCTGGTCAGGGCAGAGAGAGTTTAGTTTCAGAAAAAGTTTTAGTTTTAGTAGAGGTTTTTACGGCGCTCACAACTGCATAAGGTCATATGAGCGCTAGAGGTGTTACAAAAGAGTAACAAACATAAAAAAGAAGAAGGGGAGATAAGGACGATAGATCTTTGATAGGAAAGAAACAGCAAACAACACCAGAGCACCCGCCAACAACCCACTCAGAAAGAGTTTTGAGGCATTTGCAACATAAGTAGGTCCTTAAAATGCCGAAGATTAGAAGTGATACATGAGAGTAACAAACACAAAAAAGAAGGATGAGAGATAAGCTTTAGTTTTCGTAAGAGTTGAATCGCACTTGCAACACTATAAAATTGTCCTACAAATGTGGAAGCTTAGAGGTGCTACAAGAGAGTAACAAACACAAAAAAGGAGGGGAGACAGGGACAATAGATGTTTGACAGGAAAGAAGGAGCAAACCGTATTAGAGCACCCGCCAACAACCCATGAGCAGAGGTAGATCAGATAAAACATAGCATATAAACAGGTTGGATATAACAAATTGGATAAAACAATTAGATACAACAAGGAAGATAACTCAAGATGAATTAAACAAAATCAGTTACGCCAGGATGGATAAAACAAGCTGGATAAAGAGTCCAATAAAACAGTGGCATCCAAAGAACACCCTAGACATACATTGAGTCAGGCATCGGACTGCAATAAGAACATTGTGAGCTCAATTGTCTGCTTCATTTAAAAGTAACATACTGACCATAATTTTCTCACTCCACCCAGCAGCAAACAAGTCAAAGGGTACAGGGTAAACAATACTTGATTTATTGAGCTGACCATTAAAGAGTTAGCTTCCCACACGACAGAAACACATTGGGAATAAAAACAATTTATTCGGACCACACTGGCTAACATCATGACATCAGCAGTAGATGTCTGGCTCGCACTAGATCAAGCTTATCTAACATCATGACAGGAGTAGTAGATGTCTGGCTCGCGCTAGATCTAGTTTATCTAACATCATGACAGGAGCAGTAGATGTCTGGCTCGCACTAGATCTAGTCTATCTAACATCATGACAGCAGCAGTAGATGCCTGGCTAGCACTAGTCTATCTAACATCATGACAGCAGCAGTAGATGTCTGGCTCGCACTAGTGTATCTAACATCATGACAGCAGAAGATGTCTGGCTCGGGCTAGTCTATCTAACATCATGAATCAGCGTAGATGTCTGGCTAGCACTAGATCTAATCTATTTAACATCATGACAGCAGCAATAGATACCTGGCTAGCACTAGTCTATCTAACATCATGACAGCAGAAGATGTCTGGTTCGTGCTAGTCTACATCATCAGAGCAGTACACTACCCTAGAGTTACAAAGTTCTATCTTCTCAGTACCCAGTTTTGAGAAATTTGACCTAAAAATTTTGAGTTTCACAACATGTCATACTTTTTCGAGAGCAAATTTTTTGAATATCTTGAAAACGACCCCAAATAATCTCACAATTTTGATAGAGAACATACATACAAAATTTGGTTTCTAACCCCATGGTCTTAGTAACTCAAATCAGCCAAAAATGTCAGAAGTTTGTAATTCTAAAGTAGCGAGTAGTTGTCCAACTCATGCTAGTCTATATACTAAGCATGAAAGCAGATGTCTGGCTTGGGCTAAACTATCTAAAATACCAACACAGCTATAGACAGCAACAGATCTGGTCAGTTTGTTAGTATTTTAGTGCCTGCCATTTGCAGTTTGAATTGTATGCTTCCTGGGAAGCCAAGAATGTGTCTGAGTGCTCCTGAGTCTACTGTGGTAATAATAGTTGTAAAGTGCAAAAGCTACAGGTCAGATAACTTGCACAACCCCTGACCTTTTCATGAGAGCGATGAACTGTCTGAACGTGTCGCACGTCCGCACCTTCTCCCCGAGCGAGCCCCGGCTCAGAGTGACCACCATCTGGAGGGTGAGCGCCTTCAGCTCCAGCTGCCGGACTGACCACAGGGTGTCGCTGGTCAGCCCCAAGAAGACTGTCTGCAGTCGTGTCGTCAGCTCCAAGATCTGAACATGTTAGACGTCAGTGACGGAGATCAGAAAAACATCAGCGTCAATGTCGAAGAACAGAAAAACATTACTGTCAGAGTCGAAGATCAGAAAAACATTACTGTCAGAGTCGAAGAACAGAAAAAAATTACTGTCAGAGTCGAAGATCAGAAAAACATTACTGTCAGAGTCGAAGATCAGAAAAACATTACTGTCAGAGTCGAAGATCAGAAAAACATTAGAGTCAGTGTTGAAGAACAGTACATCATGAGTGTCGGTGACGGAGATCAGAAAAACCCCCAGCCAGAAGTCATCTTACGACACGACAACAGAGAGTGGAACAAAGATCACATCGACCGTTCAGTGTCATACTCCGACATACGTCGTTAAGGTGAAATCCACTATGTACATTTGCTTGATTTCCTATTCCCAGAAGGATAATCCGAAATAGTTCATGTCTTGTTGGGATCATTATTCCATACTCAGTTTAATTTACTTTAATTTACGACTGTTTACAACCTTTACGACCAGGGCGCTTAATTTACTACTTTACGACCTTACAGAACACATGTGAAGAGTTGGTGCAGAATAGTTATCAGAATTATATTGAGAATATCAAAATACCATAAACTGCCTGTAATAGCAAAAGTGGTTGCATACATGATGAAGATGATGATTGATGACGATGATGATGATGAAGATGACGATGATGACATATTTACCTTATCAACGGCAGAAGTCACAGTTTCAGTGTCTGCGATGCACTCAGAGGAATCGTTAACTCTCGTCAACAGCTGAAATTGATTTGAGAAACGCGGTTAAAACACAGTCGAAAATGGTTTATCACAGCCACCCACCATCGAGGAGAAAAGTTACTGTCTTACACAGTGTCATTATAATGTTTTAAAAAAATACACAAGGGAGGAAATTGGAAGTGGCCGTTTACACTAGTGATCATCTTATACTGGTCGCCATTGGAGGAGACTGTCCATAAAATACGATACCCTGAATTTCAATCAAACTAAAGTGTAAAGTGGGTCTGGAATAATTCTTAAGACTATTATTTTATAAATCTTACTGTTCACCAACATAGGTCGTAAAATGAAAGTTAGAAAGAATTAAGGAAAACAAGCATTTTGCTTGTCAGTTTGCCCCCCCCCCCCCTTTAGTAAGAGTTTTACGGCACTTGCAACACAATAAGGTCATATAAGTGCCGAAGATTAGAGGTATTACAAGAGAGTATCAAACAGAAAACAGAAAGAGGGGAGATTTTAATGATAGATGTTTGATAAGAAAGAAAGAGCAAACCACACCAGAGAACCTGCCAACCACCCACCCATCAAAGTCAAATTGTCCTGCTGTCTGCCTTTCTTTGACTAAAAGACGCATCCGTCAAAACATTTAAAAAACATCACAAGCTGTCGCTTGCCTTTTAAAAAAGTAAAACTCTACATTGTTCCACAAAACATAATCAAATTTAAATCAATTATAAATGCATCTTCAATACTTTATTTCTAAATTTTATTTTCAGTAGTTAAAGATCTGAGTAAAAAAAATAGCAGCTTTTACAAAAGTTAAGACATTAGGGAACAATCGTAACAGTGGAATATTTTTAGAAAACTGAAAAAAAAAACAAAGAAGGAAAGCCTCTCCCACCTTTGTGAGGAACAGCTGAGACTGCAGATAGACGCAGGTACAGTCGGCCGAGGCAGCCACCTGAGAGTCCAGCTGCTTGCTACGCTCCAGGTCTCTGGAACAGTTACACACAACATAGTCGTTTGATATATAATACAGAACATACTCAGTTTGAGAAGTGAACAGGCCATGAAATTTTCTTTTTTTTTTTTTTTTAAGTAGAGGTTTTACGGCGCTCGCAACTGCATAAGGTCATATGAGCGCCAGAAGATTAGAGATGTCACAAGAGAGTAACATACATAAAAAAGAAGAAGGGGAGATAAGGATGATAGATGTTTCATAGGAAAGAAGAAGCAAATCACACCAGAACACCTGGAAACCACCCACACATTTCCTTTATCAATGTCTTCAGCAACAGCTCACAACACAAAAGTCAGGACATGGCCATGAGGAATGTTGAGCCACAAACTGCACCAGACGGACAGAGCAAAAAAAGGGCAGGCTCCAGGGAGGCAAAATGTCTCATGAAACAAACAAGAACAAACTGGTGGATTAGGCCATTCCCAAAGGGGGGACATTTCTCGTTCAAGCATAGTAGAATTGTAAATGGGATGACTCATGATGTCACGCTCATAACTGTGCCTGATCTACAACAGGGAACTGCTGCTTTTTCTTTCCTGATCCTTACTATTGTCATTTTCCTCTACTTCTTTTGTATGTTTGTCACTCTCTTGTGACATGCTATTTCGGGGTGCCTTGACAGTCGAAGCAGACCTTGTGCTGTTGAAGCTAGAGAGGTGAGCAGTCTAAGTCTGATTCCCTGTAAAGACTTCTCTGTTGACACCCACCCCTTGGTGCTCATATGACCTTATGCAGTTGCGAGCACCGTAAAACCCTCTGCTATAAAAAAACCCAAAAAAACTGCTGGACGAGCAAAACGTGCACAATAATTGTTCCCCTGTCCATCCAACACAGCTCATGCAACAGTGCTCAGAAAAATCAAACTTTTATAGATCTTTACTTGAAACATTTGTACCTGACAGATAAATCACAGGGCACAGTAGTTCATGAAACAATGCTTAGAAAATTAAAATATTTTTAGATCTCTACTTTAAACATTTGTACCCAACATATAAATCACAGACACTTCTTGAACCAAGTCAGAGAACATCTCACTCTCAATATCTGCCACCCCAACACACCAGTGAGGTTGACATTCATCCTTGCTTTACAATGCAACCCATTAAAGACAATCAAATCAAAATTTCTCCATCACTCACTGTCATCAGAAACTTGTTTGACACCATTGTGCCGAGAGAGGTCTGATCATACTTCATAGCAGAAAAAACAATTCCACAATGATTGAAATGTAGGTTACAGGCCAAAAGAAAAAATTCTGAATGAAGTCCTCTATCTCCTTGATAGGACGATCACTGTATTGGGCAAGTTCACAATACAGATGTTCACAAATCAGTAACTATTCATTCACAAATCATCAAGTAATTTTTTTCTACTTTTCAGATATCAAGAAAAAATATTCACATTTCCATATTATACAGTCAAAATTGTCTAAAACAGATGCCCATTGCCCATTGTCAAAGAGAATGGTGGCCGTCTTACACATAGTGCCGTAACAATGTAAAAAAAAATGCAATTGGGGGGGGGAGGGTTGTTTCTACAGGTCTTATATAGATGACAGTTAGAGCAGGTTCGACTATGAGCCAGTTCACAAAAAAAGCTTCTTTGTGGTTACAATCAAACTCGGATATAACAGGACAGACGGGACAGGCAGTTTTTCCCTGTTATAAGCGAATCCTGTTATAACTGTAATCAAGGGAAACTATCATTGCACCTTTAGCTTACTATTCGATAATCGCAGATCCTTTTCCAGTGGGCTGTTTTGCTGACACTAAGATGGAATCGATCAGTGACCCCAGTCAGTCTGTGTTTAGGCAAGCAATCATACAAACAGGCGAAATGTCTTGGTTAACAAATTTTAATAATTTGAAGGATCGAAAGCAAGTCAGGAGACCCTCCATGTCATTTTAAAAGAATTAATTTTAAAAATCACAGAAATACGACACAAAGTTGAATCTTGCACAATTGTACAGTATACCTATCCCAACTAGATTTGTAAAAAAAAGTGTAACAGTTGGTCAGTTTACGAAGTTATTTACCGTTAAAATCAAATAATACTGAAAATGGAATCTGATACTGTAGAAACACGTCTAGGAGAACGTAGTCCAATAAAATCAAGATTATGAACTGAGATCGACCAAAGTTATATGTGTCTCGACGCGGTGGAATCAGGCGCTCATATATTTTTGAGCATGTGAAGTTACTGGCATCATCTTAAAGCCAGTTCATTTATCTAGCTTTTGATGAAAAAACAATACCCATCTATCTTGCGCAGAAGTAAAGATATTTGTCATTGAAAGAGGTAAGTTCACTTGGTTTCAGCGGTAAAAATAGCGAGAAAAGGGCTGCCAAAGTTTGGTAACTTCAATAGCTAAAGAGTCCTTGAAAACTGAAAAATTGTACACCGGGTATTTTGAACTCTCAATCAACGTTTTTCAATATAATTCACATGGAAATTTTTTTATTTTGACGAGCGCCTGATTTCACCACGATGCCTCACATATTGTCTTTTAGGGGGAAAGTTGAGCTTTAAAATGGGGGGGGGGGGGGGGGGGGCGTGTGGTGATAGAGCATCTTAAGATCTGAAGATATCGGGGTGGGAAAGACACCACAATCTAGAGGCATTCATTACGTGGGCAGGCGGGGGCGCACCACTGATGTCACGGTAGTGAGCACGGCTGTCGACTAATTAAATGACCAACACATGGGTGCCACTGACCGCCTGCATGGAGCAACTAAAAGAGCAGTTTCCGGGCGAGTTGAACAGGAGTGTGTTATAAATGGACTTGACTGTATTTAGAAGCCCCTTTTTATAAAGATTAAATGAAGAATTGCAAGTCTGAGTGGAGATACACCGATGGGCAAGTTCACATTTGGTGCAAGTCTGACTTAAGCAAACAGATTAGCATCATGAGGAAAAAACTCATCCCCAACTGCGGCTACACCGACCCCCTCCCTCCTCCCTCACTGACTGACCTGACTGCCACCTCCAGGATGGACACAGCCGCCTCCGGCTCCATAGAGCCCAGCTGGGCCAGCTGACCGGTCAACTCTTCCACAAACCGGCCCGCATCCAGGACCGAACCGGGACCTTTTGAGACTGACACCAGAGTGTCCCCTGCCTCCCCTTCCTGCAGCTCCAGGCTCTGCGAACAAAAACACAGACAGAGGTAATGCACAGAAATGAGTTTTATTTTAGTAACCTTTTTAGCTTTAGTTTTCGTAAGAGTTTTACGGCACTTGCAACACAATACGGCCATATAAGTGCCGAAGAATAGAAGTGTTACAATAGAGTAACATACACAAAAAAGGAGAGGAGATAATGACGATAGATATTTGATAGGAAAGATGGAGCAAACCACACCACAGCACTGATCAATCATCCACCTAGTAAGGTTTTATGGTGCTTGCAACTGCATAATGTCATATGAGCACCAAGGGGAGGATATCAACAGAGAATTCTAAATGAGGAATCAGGTTTTCTCTGCTCAACTCTCTAGCCTCAACAGCACAAAGTCTGCTTCGACTATCAAGCCACCCCGGAAATGGCAGTTCACAAGAGAGTGACAAACATACAAAAGAAGTAGTTTCTTCTGTGTTGTTCCGGCACAGTATGAGCATGACATTGATAAATTAGCCCATTTACAACTCTACTGAGCATAAGAACATGTTAATATCCCCCCTTTGGGAATGTTAGGGTGTTAGTCAAGTTATTTTTAACAGATCTCAAGTAACTGAAGTTTAAACTCTTTCTTAATCTTTGTGAAATTTCCCTCAAAGAAAAGAAGACCACCAACTTGAAAATGAACTGTAAAAAAATAAGTGGGTCCTTACTCTAGTTTAAGTGAGAGTTTTACTGCGCTTGCAACACAATAAGGTTATATCTGTGCCGCAGATTAGAGGAGTTATAAGAGAGTAACATACACAAAAAAGAAGGAAGAGAGATCGGGGTGATAGATGTTTGATAGGAAAGAAGGAGCAAATCACATCAAAGCACCTGCGAACCACCTGTGGTCCTTGTCTACAGATAAAGTGTTTGGTTTTTATGCTAAAGAACCCCATTCAATTCCATATTCAAATAAGCTGAGGCGTCGGTGGCCTAGTGGTTAGGCTCTCGGACTCGCAACCGTAAGGTCGTGGGTTCGAATCCCGTCAAGGGCCCGACGTTGTGTCCTTGGGAAAGGCACTTTACACGAATTTTCCTCACTTCACCCAGGTGGGAATGGGTATCTGGCTATAGACAGCGAAAGATCTTGTCAGTTTGTTAGTGTTTGAGCGCCTAATCAGCTGCTTGCACTGTGTGCTTCCCGGGAAGCTGAGAATTTTTCTGAGTATTCTATGGTCTGCTGGGGTAATAATACAGTGTAAAGCGCATAGAGCCTGCTGTTGAGCGGAGATATGCGCTATACAAATGCTATTTATTATTATTTATTATAAGCAGCAATTCTGATTTATCCTCTCCTCAAAAGCAGGACAATTCACATTCCACAATCACTTTAAAAATTATTTTTCAGGGGCCCAAAACAAAACATTGTGCCACTAAAATAAAATGTTTTCCCCACTAACCTTTATGACAGGCACGTGTTCCGGCAGGGAGGAGCGGAGGTATGCGTAATGTCTGCGCGTGTGTTCGGGAAACAGTGGGACCATGGAGGGGGAGTTGGCCGCGGCGTTCAGGACAAGGATCAACACGCTCACGTCTGGTCCGTCGTCAAGGAGTGTTTTTTTGGGGTTTTTTTTATAGTAGAGGGTTTTACGGTGCTCGCAACTGCATAAGGTCATATGAGCGCCAAGGGGTGGGTGTCAACAGAGAAGTCTTTACAGGGAATCAGACTTATTCTGCTCACCTCTCTAGCTTCAACAGCACAAGGTCTCCTTCGACTATCAAGGCACCCCGGAAATAGCAGGCCACAAGAGTGACAAACATACAAAAGAAGTAGAGGAAAAATGACAATAGTAAGGATTAGGAAGGAAAAAGCAGCAGTTCCCTGTTGCAGATCAGGCACAGTTATGAGCGTGACATGAATCAGCCCATTTACAATTCTACTGTGCTTGAACGAGAAATGTCCCCCGTTTGGGAATGGCCTAAAGACACTACAGTCAGTGGCACTACCCCGGGGTGCTGTCAAGGAATACACACAGTGAACTCTAACAACACACTATCCCCACAGACCCCCTCATCCAAGGAAAACATACAGCGGAAACCACCAAACAGTTCACCCTTGGAGAGGCACCTGGCTACAGACAGAACCAGCGAGGTCAGAGAAAGTTTTTTTGTTTGTTTTGTTTGAGTAGAGGTTTTGCGGCGCTTACAACTGCATAAGGTCATATGAGCACTAGAAGATTATATGTGTTACAAGAGAGTAACAAACATAAAAAAGAAGGAGGGGAGATAAGGATGATAGATGTTTGATAGGAAAGAAGGAGCGAACCACACCAGAGCACCTGCCAACCACCCACTCAGAGAAAGTCACAGGTGACGTTCCAGACTTGATCCCAACAGAATTGCAGGGCATGTGTATCAAGGTATTTCCACAACCCTGTGGTACTCACTCAGTCTTACTGTTATTGTATATATAGACATTAAAATACAGGAACCTTCCTTCTCACAATCAACCTGAGGTGTTATTATTTAACTTGAAAATGCTTGTCAATAGTCTTGTATCCACCCCCCCCCCCCCCCCCCCCCAACTGCCGAAGATTGGAGGTGTTACAAGAGAGTAACAAAGCCAATAAAAGATGGAGGAGAGATCCGAACTATAGATATTTGATGGGAAAGAAGGAGCGAACCATACAAGAGCACCCGCCAACCACCCGTTTTTAAACTCTGTTAAAAAGGACAGTAAAACATTATCAAGTAAAACACAACGAACAGATGAACCAAATCCCAACAGAAACAAAAAACAGCAGGACAAATAAACAAACAAAACAATCAAAAAAGAAACATAGACGAATGAACCAACAAAGCAATCAGTTTTAGTTTAAGTAAGAGTTTTACGGCACTTGCAAGACAATAAGGTCATAAAAGAGAAGAAGATTAGAGGTGTTACAAGAGAGCAACAAACACAAAACAGAAGGAGAGATCAGGACGATAGAAGTTTAATAGGAAAGAAGGAACAAACTACACCAGAGCACCCACCAACCACCCACTCAAAACAATCAACAAAGACATGCAAACAAATAAACCCAACGAAGCAAAAAAAAAAAGTAGACAAATTAACCAACAAAACAAATATCAAAGAAACGCAGACAAATAAACCAAGAAAACAATCAACAAAGAAACACAGACAAATAAACACAACCAAACAATCCACAAAGAAGCGCAGACAAATAAACCCAACCAAACAATCAACAAAGAAACGCAGACAAATAAACCCAACAAAACGATCCACAAAGAAACGCAGACAAATAAACCAAAGAAAACAATTCACAAAGAAACGCAGACAAATAATCCCAACCAAACAATCAACAAACAAATGCAGACAAATAAACCCAACAAAACGATCCACAAAGAAACGCAGACAAATAAACCCAAGAAAACAATCCACAAAGAAACGCAGACAGAAACGCAGATAAATAAACCCAACCAAACACTCAACAAAGAAACGCAGACAAATAAACCCAATAAAAAAATCCACAAAAAAACGCAGACAAATAAACCCAACCAAACAATCCACAAAGAAACGCAGACAAATAAACCCAACCAAACACTCAACAAAGAAACGCAGAGAGGATACAGGCTGGGTCGTCCATCTCGGGCTCAGGCGTGTCGAAGTACGGATGGAGACACAGCAGGTCGGGCACCAACGCCAGCACGTGGGCCGGGTGATTGGCTCCCAGTTCCCTAGAACACCTGCACGGGGGGGGGGGGGGGGGAGGTAAGTGTGGAGCTTGTTTTAGTACGTGTTTTTCAGCACTTGCAACACAATAAAATCACGTAAGCGCCAAAGATTACAGGTGTTACAAGAGAGTAACAAACACAAAAAAGATGGAGGGGAGATAGAGACGATATATGTTTGATAAGAAAAAAGAAGCAAACCACACCAGAACACCTGCATGGGGAAAAGTGAGGGGCGGAACAGAAGGTCACTAGAAGGTTCTGTCTTCTTAAAACTTAACCCTTCCAGCTCCAGCCATTTTTGTGCACTCCCTAACCCCAGTCCCAGCCAATTCAGCAGTATTTCAGAAAAAGAGACATGCATTCTAAAAAGTGATGAGGTTTAGATGATAAGATATACCAATGTTAAAAGGAAAATGAACAAATATTATGAAAATTAAAGTATAATTAGGTTAGCTAATTTCGAAAACGAAAATTCGGTAGCCCCCAAAACTGAGAATATACGCTCTTGGGACAGTGAGAGGTACAGGTGCTGCTGAAAATATATGTGCATGGGGCTGGAAGGGTTAACAAAGAACCCTACGGTTCAACAGTTAGTTACAAGTTGTGTATCAAAGCTTTACTAACACATGAAACAGTCTTCTGAATGACGGAGCCCTTGATACAGCGATAAGTCAGTGAGGAAAAGGGAAGAACCATAGTCAACACTGTGCTAAATGAGTTTAATATTAATGTCCTACTAGTCAAATCAGCCATTTTTAGGTACATGTAGAGCACTTAGTCTGGGATTAACGGAACAAGAGACCAAAAAAGCAAAATGGAAGATAAAAGGTTGCAGCTACATTCCTTTTCTATCAGTATAGCTACCTTCTGGACACCAAAATTTCTAAGGCCTAGCACATGGCACAGTGGTAACAGTCAAGAAAAAAAGGGAAAAAAAGAAAGAAAATAGAGACATGGTGTACGGGAGCAGACATCAAGCATTCAGAAACAGAAACCAGTTTAGTTTAAGTAAGGTTTTACAGTGCTCGCAACTGCATATGGTCATACGACCGCCAAGGGGTGGATGTCAACAGAGAAATCCATACAGGGAATCAGGCTCACCTCTCTAGCCTCAACAGCACAAAGTCTGCTTCGACTATTAAGGCACCCCAAAAATAACAGTTCACAAGAGAGTGACAAACATACAAAAAAAGTATAGGAAACACGATGACATGACAGTAAGGATGAGGAAAGAAAAAGCAGCAGTTCCCCCTATGTTGTTCCAACACAGTATGAGCATGACATTGATAAATCAGCCCATTTACAATTCTACTGAGCAAAAGAACAAGTTCATATCCCCCCTTAGGGAATGGCCTAAAGCCAACTTCAGTCAGCAGAACTGCCCTGGTGGGGGGAGAACAGAAACCAGAGCGTGGAAAAAATTCCCACAATGTGTTTACTCTAACAGCAGCACGCACGGTACACGTACTTCCACACGGAGAGCCGGTCCTGGGGGTAGCGCTGCAGGTTGTCCAGCAGACCCATCACGCAGCTGTTGATGCCCGACTTGGTGGCAAGGCGCACGCTGGACAGCAGGTGGCGCAGCGCCTCTCGCGACACGTGAGAGTAGTCCTGGCAAGTGGTGAAAGAAAGATGTCAGGAAAAAGCGACTATCCGCGTTAACGAGATGGAATATGAACATAAGCACATTTATTACATCAAGAACTCACCATCAGTGAGAGTCTGGACAGAAAGAGGCCCCCTCGCAAGGTTCCCAGCTACTTGGCTTATGCATTTAACAACTCCAAGGCAGTAAATATATTTTCCTTTCTAATATAATTGATCTCTTTGATAATCGACAAGTAGACAGACAGACAGGCAAACAGACAGACAGAAAAACAGATTAGATAGACAGACAGAATGAATGACAGACAGACTGACAAACAGACAGACAGACAGACAGAAAGCTAAACAAACAGACAGCCAGACAGACAGAGTGACAGACAGACAAACAGACAGCCAGACAGACAGAGTGACAGACAGACAAACAGACAGAGTGACAGACAGACAGACAGAGTGACAGACAGAGTGACAGACAGACAAACAGACAGCCAGACAGACAGAGTGACAGACAGACAGACCTGCAGCACACCCAGGATGATGTCGGCCTGGTCCTCTCGGAGCAGCAGGTTGTGGCTGATCTTCCTCAGACTGTTGATGGCGTTGAGGCGCACGCTCTCAATCTCGTCGTTGAACATGTCGATGATGCTGTCCTGAGTGAGCACCGAGAACTGCGGCGAGTTGGCCGCCAGCTCACACAGGGAGTCCAACGTGGCGTTGCGAACCTCTGGAAGAGACAGCTTAAGTTTGACTTTGGTAAGTTTTACAGCACTTGCAACACAAATAGGTCATACAAGTGCTGAAGATTAGTGCTGCTACTACTGGATAGCAAAATTTCTTTTAAATGAAGAAAAAGAGATGAGGACGATAGATGTTTGATAAAAAAAAGGAGCAAACCACACCAGAGCACACACCCGCCAACCACCTGCAGCAAGGGCAGGAAGCAAAAAATAAAACCAGAGATCATTTTGATAGTGTTTACCTACAGCGTATCTTTATATCGAAATTGTTAAGAACTTGTCAGCCTTTGGATGCAGCATCAAAGCGAACAGACTGCTATACTCAATTTTTTTTTTAAATTCCTTTTTGTAAATTTGTACATGTGTGATAGAGACGGGCGGGAAGCGCTTTTTCCTTCCCGAGCGAGAAGACCGAGAAGCTGACCTACTTCTCGCCAGGACCGGTCCCGAGAACGGGAAATATTTCTCGTCTCGTGTCTCGAGAAATACTTCTCGTCTCGTGACCAATTTCTCTTCTCGCCCCGCAGTTCGAGCCACTCGTTCAGCGAGAAGGCCGGCCGTGGCAGAGATTTCTCTTCTTGCCCCACAGAACGAGCAGCTCGTTTAGCGAGAAGACCGATCGTGGCGGGGATCTAAACTTAGAAACTAGGCTTGCCCTGTTGCGCAGGCGCAGGCGGTGAAGGAAGGTAGGGAGACCTAGGCCTAGGCCCTGATCAACTCCCCACTCGCCTCGTCTCGCAAACCTCTCCCCTCCCTTTCAGTTTCACACACAGGACGGCACGGTGATGGGTGGCACTGTCTGCGTTGTCATTTCTCGCCTCTCACTCTCGTTACTGTTACTCGTTGTGTCAAGCCAACGAGCAATATCACGTCTCGGTACCGAGCAGTAGTTTAGTGCCCGGGAAGTGACGGGAAGGCCGTTACCCGCGAGAAACGGGTACTCGGCTCGTCTCGTGCCCGCCCCTAATGTGTGACTGGCGTTTTTGCTTTTATGAGCTTTCACCCCGATATATAAAGTTGAGTACCTAAAGCTCACATAAACACAATTTTGCCATTGTGCTGTTTCATATGGTATATGTTCCATCAGAATAGATACTGTAGAAATAGTGAGTAGTTTTATGTTGACACCAGAAACAAACACCACTTGAATGATCTAAAATAGCGTCACTGCGCTAGCAAAATGGCACGTCTGATGTTTGCTACTTTTGAGATAATGGAAAAACCTGTTTAACTAGACGACTTATCATCTAATAATGGTAAAACTTGCCATGCATGTTTCTTTTATGACTGCCATGCACTTTTGTTTGGGTTAAAAAAAAAAATATATAGCACCATCAAACAAAATAAAAGGCTAGTTGCATTTTGGCTCAACTCTGAGTTTAGCTATTTCGCTAGAGTAGTGAAGATCTGTCAATGGGAGTGAAAGATAATACAATAAAATAACTCACCCAAAAACTCGTCTTCTAAGCCATGCACAAACGCCCCACAGGCCCCCATGGTCAGCAAATTCACAGACTCGGGATCAACATCTTCCTTGGGGGCATCGTCCGCCCATTTCTGACCACTTGACCACTCCCCAGAGGAAAAATGCTCCCTGGCTCTTTCATGAGCTGACCGCTTCCGCTGCACAGGGAGGACAGGGGAGAACACAGAAACAAGTTTTTAAAAAAGCTCCAGATAGGATTTTTAAGAACCTCAAATGACAGACTAATAAGAGAGACTAATAAGAGAGCTCTGAGACTAGCTGCCTTCAGCAAACTACAAGTTATGTTGTCATTAAGGTGTGCTTTAAATCCTGAGTCATCATGGTAACAGTAGAAGCACAGTTCTCCAGAAATATATGTGAAGCATCGTGGTGAAATCAGGCGCTCATCAAAATAATGAATTCGAAAGTATCGGCATTTTTCCTTTAGTCTGACATTTTTTTTCAAATTTTTATTTTTTGGCCTAACACCTTTTATGTCCTTTTAAAAACATATTTCCGTGTGGATTTTACTGAAAAACATTGATTAAAGACACAACAAATGTACATTTTCAGTTTCCAAGGACTCTCAAGCTTTGGATATCACAAAAGTTTGGTGGCCATTTTCTCGCTAATATTACCTCTGAAACCAGACAACCCTGACCTCCTTCATTCAAAATATCTCGACTTCTATCCAAGAGAGGCGTGTATTTTTTTCATCAAAAAGATGGTCAAATGAACAAGCTTTAAGATGATATAAATAACTCCAGATGCCAAAAAAAATTGACGAGCGCCTGATTCTTCCGCATTGTGGCACATTTTATTGTGCATTTCTATTGCAAGTAACAAACATTTTCACCATTCCAATAACTAGAAACCTGAAACAAATGACTTTCACATGAAACTGAGCTTTGTCTGTGACGATTTTTTAAAAGAGTCTTCACATCAGTAGGAGAATCCTATTATAAGCATATAGAACAAAATAGGTCCCAATTTCCAACTACCTTGAAGTATATATTTTAGAAGGTCAGTTACATCCCTATTTCGTTGCTGGTTCTAACACAGTCCATACTCACCCGTAGCTGAGACATGATCTTTTTGTCCAGTGTCTGCTCCAGGAACCGGGGACTGACCATGTGTAGGGAGCCCTGGGGACAACAGTTACAGGTGTAGGAATCAGTATATATATTGTTAGCAAAGGAAGGGTAGGGGGAGTTGGGGG